GATATCAAAAAAGTACTCCAGAGTGTTGTTCAGCATGGGGGTGAGTAGAAAATGAAGGCTAATCATGTTTTGGGTGTACTATTCCTTTAAGCTTTTTTTTTCTGGCCATGGCACCATGCCCATCACCATCAAGGAACAAACAAGGTACAGTCTAACCTGTTGATTTCCTAAACTTAGAGTCATGGATCATCAAGTACAAGGTCTTGAGATTATCTGCAGGAATTAAACTAAACATAAAAACATACAGCATATTTATGTGTTTGAAGATATACAAACCGCATGACAAAAGGCTTAAATCGGAGGCAACTGTTGAACATTTTGGTCATCAAATGTTTGCTCTTTGTTCATGAGGTCTAAGTGTAAAGCTGAATCTTACCGAGATTTGCTGGCTCTCCTCAAAGCCAACGCTGATTGGACGTTTGTTTGGTGAACGGCTCCAAATTTTCTTCAATGGAGAGTCTCCAGACTGATTAGCGAGTAAAATCTTGAAAGCTCGCAAGATCAGGATGGTCTCACGAGGCTACTCTCGCCTCCCTTCTATGTGTCAAGACTCAGAACAGAAGCACCCAGAATTCAAGGCAATAAAGATAGTGGGACTACTCAAAAGAGTTTATGTAAAATACGTATCTGCAGATCTGCAGTAGCAGAGGCTAGAGAGTCTAAGGCAGAAATCTCTGCCGGAGAGAAACACATGTTAGTGACCACAATAATCTGACGGAGGATGTTAATGAACTTGTCAGTCATTCACCTGGTTTAGGGTTTAGCCCATGCCCAGAGAACGAGGAAGGATCCAGCCGGTGGACTGCCAACAAGATGCGGCGGGTGCTGCACCAAAGTGTCCCAGATACTGCAGCCCCAGAGAAAATGCAGGAGTCCGAAGCAAGATCAGGCAAACGGATCAGAACAGGAAGGCTCAGACATCCAGGAGTAAAAAATGTTCAGAAGGGAATGGGCAGGCTCAGTCGTTGAGGGGCAGAACAGGTCAGGATCAGGTAATCAGTAACATTATGGTTATGGTAAAAACACTCTCACCACTGAGATCAGGCAGGCTCAGTGGTAGAGAGGCAGAACAGGTCAGGATCGGGAAATCACAAACACCAAAGAACTCTAAAACCACTTTCAAAAATGGCTAACGAGAAAAAGAATAAACTCGCGCTGATGACTGGATGCAAGCACCTCAAGTAGAGGCAGGAGCAGGTGGAGATGAGAGGTAATGAGCAACCGGGCAGAGTTAGACAGGTGAATGGAATGACTAATTAAGCCAGTCATCAGTGCCAATCTTGACATTATGGGGAGATTATTCCCAGCATAAGGCAGGTGATGTCTGTATTGTATCAACATTGTTTTTTGTCATGTGTTATCATGTTGGTTTTAATCCTGCTGTGTTACAGCCTCTACTGAAGGAACTTTTATTTAAACAGTTTTGGATTGCTAATTTTAGGCTAATATCACGGCTGCCTTTTATTTCTACCATTGTTGGATTCATTCATGGAGTTCCCCAGGGGTTAATCTTCAGTCCCCTCAATGTTTCCTTTTTCTAGTTCTTCTGGATTCGATTTTCTTTTATTGCTATAACTAAAAATAAATCAAGACTTCCTGTCAAATTAGTTCTGTTGTACCTTAATGTCATCAAAACATAGATAGCCTTGGACTTTTTAAATATTCACAATAAAAAGAGTATTGTTAAAGTCCCTTTTCCATACCAGCCAATCCCCTTTATTGATTGATTTCTCTAAAAACTCCCCGAAAAATGCAACTTTATTTCTTGGCTTTTGGCACAACCTGAGATTTTTGTTTTCTACTTATTGTTGTATTATTTCATTGATTTCCTTGATTTTTAACGCTTTTTTCTTTGTTTTTGCACTAAACATTTTTGATCTTACATGCGCAGCACTAAATAACTATAGAAATATAAAGCAATAAGATAGATCTGTACATTAAGGTCAGGATATAATAGTAGTCCAATTGTATAAGAGCTGTCGGTTCCCATGATTGGCATCAACACAAAGAAATCCACTGCTTTGGTCCATGTGAATGAGTCCAGGAATGCCCAACAATAACAACAGAGGAACCTTACTGTCTAAACCATGTGTCATTTTTCTGTTTGTGACGTTTGAAACCTTGACCAATGCTTTTTGTGCAGAATATAGACAAATTTACCATGTGCTTGAATTGAAAGAGAAAGCAAGTTGTTCATAGTTCAGATACTAAATCCTTTGTTGCTCATCGGTCTCACAGGGTTCCCACAGGGATAAATCTTTGGTCCCCTCCATTTGTTTTCCTTTATCTATATTCTTCCTTGCTATTTTCAAGACAGTCAGATATAAATGAATAAACTGTGCTGCTCTTTAAACTAGTTTAATGTTTACTTGAACTGTGTTTTGCATGTCTATGTTATCTGTTCTCTTCTTCAATAAAGTTTCATATAAAAGAACCAAGCAGAATCTAATCTCTCTCTTTCTCTATCTCCCTCTTTTTCTCCCTCCCTCTCTCTCTCTCTGTCTATATATATA